GTGTTGCAGTGTGTAAACCATGATGTATCCCAAGCCCAACATCAGTGAATAATGGCAAGAAGGCAGTACAAGAGAATAGATAGAGAGAAAAGAGGAAACCAAAGAGGAGTCCAGGTGGAAAGGGAAGGATAAGAACATTGAAAGGATCAGTCACGCAATACTTTAATTCCCATCGTGGATAGGAACGTGCTCCCTGCATGATAATGTACATAATTATCCAATGCTGTAGACAGCAAGCTGTTTTGGCCATAAAGGCCTCATCAGTACAGCTACGAGCTTTCTATGCAAGCAGAGTGCTCTAACTACGAAAAGTAGTGGGCAATGCGTAATGCAGCAGCACTAGAGAGGCCTACGGAGAGTGCTCAACACGACAAATGTCGAGAAGCATAACACCATGAACACCCAATGTACATCATTATACATGTGCTGGTGAAAACGTTAAAGCGTGGCTGATCCTTTCAATGTTCTTATCTTTCCCTTTCCACCTGGACTCCTCTTTGGTTTCCTCTTTTCTCTCATCTATTCTATTGTACTGCCTTCAAGAGCTTGAAGTGTGTCGTACTGCTAAGTATCATTGCATTTTTGACTCCAAGGAAATAATTGTTCAATACAATGTCATGTAATGCACATTGGTCATGCCAGGCATCCAAGGAAATACTTCACGGAGTATGCTTGTGTGGGACATGTACATAACAATCATGTACATTGTGTGTATATGATCCAGGAGGAATGCCACTCCATGTAGGATGCCACTAGCGTAGTACTAAGCTTCAACTTCAAAGTTCAAGGTCTGCTGAAACCAGAACGTGCCATCCATGTACCGATGTACATCATGTTCTCGTACAAGTGTTAGCTGCATATGTCACCATCTGCCGCTTTACCACTCTGCGCCTTGTACGACTGCCAGAGAACTTCATCCTTGGCTTGAGGATACACGCGCACGCATGCCCTCACTCCTCAGAGTCAAGAGGCAATCGTGATACATGCAACTTATCAAGTTAGACTCTTTAAAAGCTAAAATTAATGATAATGGAGATACCCATGAATTTAGGGTACAAAGGCTCTGGTGTGAGGGAGTCTTCTAACGCGTTTTGCATCCACGCATACACACAATACATAATGAAGTACATTATTACCGTATTAGGGCTCAAACGGTCACGGTTTTACCCCTAACGGTTAACTGCTAAGCTAACGGTCGGTTTAACGGTTATAACCTATAAGCCACGGCAATCCTGCGGACTCTTTTTTAACTGTATATTTGACAATACTCATTCAAAAAAATGTGCCCTATTCAGTACAACGCACACATGTACATTCTCTTGCATGCTCATTCATACATACTCTCACACCAAGAGACCAGATTATTATTATGACCGAGTTGACAGCCCAGAAATTGCGTACGCATGCGACAGCCTGCGAAAGTGCATACTTTGCAATGACCTGATACTTGAAAAATTGACTGAAAAGTTACTGCGGAACCGTTATCTTTATCGGTTAACCGTTAATTCTTCGTAACTGGTCTGCAGCCGGTTAATCGGACTAACCGTTTGAGCCCTAATTACTATACTGTACTTACTGTACTTGGTGACTTCCATGAACTGGCCACGAGGAGTCTCCGCTTGGGAGAGGGGAGAGAGATTCAGAAGAAATCTTGGAAAGATTACTCAATTGGTTATTGAACCGCCTAACGGCCGAAAATACCCTTGAAATCCCCAAAACTCTGGGCGGACTTGAAAATGATCCCACTTATGGGCTCACCACACCTCAGTAAGCATGGTAAGTGGGTGAAGACAAGGTGCAGAAAAAGGATTGACGGCATCAGTGTGTGTATCCGTCCCGGGATCCAACTGCAGTTACCCCTGCCCCCCGGTGAAGGTAATATTTTTTAGTGTTGGTGGCTAAATCAGAGTGGTTCTGATTATAAACTTCACTAGCATGTACGCACGCACGCACACACTACTCACATACACACGGACACACACACACACACACACACACACACCTTTTGATGTCCATAGTCATGCTGCAGCAGAAGCCATAGTAACTTGTGCGGGATTGTATCATTCAATAGCTTGCAAGGCTGAAGAATTGGCAGCCACTAACACACACACACACACACACACACACACACACACACACACACACACACACACACACACACATGTACGCACGCACACACACACACACACACACACACACACACACATACACACACCTCAGACCTCAGACCTGCCCATCGCGGAAGCGATGATAGCGAACAGCTATGTTGGACATAGCAACTTGTGCTGGGATTACACCATTCACCAGCTTGCAAGGCTGATGAATTGACCGCCACTATTTTTAGCACACACACACACACACACACACACACACACGCACACACACACACACACACACTGCTACTATTGACAGCTGCCAGAATTGGCCACACCGCTCCCAGATGTGAGGTACTGTCAGAGAGGTTAGGGGGGAGGAAGGCAATGCTCCAAGTGGCGATCCAGATCTTGCCGCCTCCGGAACCGTCGATTGTGGCAAACTCGGCAGTGAAACTTGAATTGCTGGCGTTCAGCCACAGTAGGGCGCTTTGGACAGGTTCCGCAACGGTGACGTTTGAGACCCGCAGTCGATTTAAACTCATGCTAGATAAGTTGTGCAAGTTACACCCGGAACAACAAGAGGAGCAGGGGCCTGCGGCTGGTCGTCATCGCCTAGCGGACACTTACGCACCGCAAAGCCTCCCCTGCTACGTAGCCATCGGTTGCATGTTGGACACTGCAGTGATCTAGGCTGCTCCCAAACCGGGAGCTGACGGATTGTTGAACACTTGTGCCAGGCCATGCCAGAAATACGGCGGAACAGACGGTTGCAGGTTGGGCACTCAATGCTCTTCGGGGCAGGTTCCTTGTCCTCACCTGCTGCTGCCACCACTCCACGCCACTATCGATCTCCACGATCGCTTGCCAACTCAAACCAGTCCAGCCACTCCAGCCACGGATAGGTCCGTGTGGATGGTGTCTAGGCCCCCGTGTAATATGCCGGCATTTTTTTGAACATTCTCGGCACAATCCGCGAACCCAGCACTTTGGGCTCGTGATGCAGCATTTTGGGGGAAATGGAGCACTTGGCCGTTGTGTATCAAAATTGAGAGAAGAAAAACTTCCCAAACAAGAACGTCACTTCCGCATTCCGTGGATTAGCTTCTTGTTGAGTGAATTGTTTACCATGGCAGACTCGAGCAATAAGAGACTTGCTCGAGTCTGCCATGGTAAACAATTATTTTCAAAATTATTTTCTGACTCCCTGGTTTTGACGGCGTGTGCTGAGGATTACAAAAAAGTGAGCATTTTCCGAGCATTTTCGGCAAGGTTTACGAGAATTTCCCAAAAGCATTTTCGGCAAAGGTTTGGGCATATTACACCGGGCCCTAATGGTGTCCTTCCAGCGACGACGAGGTCAACAGAATGGCCGAGACTGAGGGAGACAGGCAAACAGTAACTGCTTCGGTACTCTGGTGTCATCAAGACGAGCCACGTGCCCAAGCCACTCCAATCGTCTCTGCTGCACCATGCGTGATAACGGTGTGGGATCACCCCACTGTGCTCGCAGTTCCTGTGAGGAGCATGGTGAAACCGGTCCATTCTATCTAGATCCGACTTCAACTGCGTCCAGCATTCTGAACCTTACAGAACCGTTGACAGGACGCAAACGACATACAGGTGGCGCCTGGTAGGGGGTTTCAGGCTCCGGTCATGTAGGATGCGCCGAAGACCACCAAAGGCCCCTGCACCCTTTAATGCTAGCCGGTTCCGAATGTCCGCTTGCGACCGCGAGTCCGGAGTGATAGTGGAACCAAGGTAGGGGAATGAGGCGACTGCTTCAACCCTATCACTGCCAATGACCAAATCAGAGCAATCAGCAGGGCAAACTCCGAAACCTGCGACGAGAAGCGTGGTCTTGGTCATGCTCACTGTGAGACCCAAGCTGGATGCGACCTCACAAAAGGCAGACAGGGATTGATCGGCTGCGTTGCGAGTTGTAGCGAGCAGTACGGCATCATCCGCAAATTCGAAGTCATCAGCATGGCCGGACTCGGAGTGGGGACGACGCCTAGTGACACAAGGGAACAGCTGGCCATCAATTGTGAAGCTGAAGTCCACACCAGACTCTATTCCGCGCTCCACGAGAAGGGATCGCCAAGACGCCAACGCTCAATAACTAAGTCGAAGTACAAGTTAAACAGTACAGGTGCCATCACGCACCCTTGGCGCAGCCCATTCTTGACAGATATCGGATCCGTGCAACCACCGGCAACGCGAACGCAAGCTGACATGTCTGTATGGAATGATTTGATGATGGCCACAGTCGAGGGCGGCACACCCAGCCGCAGCAATGCCTGCCAAAGAGCTTCGCGAGGGACAGAGTCGTACGCTTTGCGGAGATCCACAAATACGCAGAAGAGCTTCGATCGATGTTCGTACGACTTCTCGACAAGTTGACGGACAGAGAAGATGGCGTCCGCACAACCACGGTGCCGCCGAAACCCGCATTGGGATTCAGGCAGCTCCGCCTCAGCAATACCTTGCAATCGGTTTTGCATGATCCGAGCTGCCAACTTGCCGACAACCTCCAGCAATGCGATCCCTCCCCCCCCCCCCCCACACACACACATGGTATAGTAGAAATATGTTGAATAACGTAAAATTCAAGACGCACAGAATACTCTCTCCCCCTCCGCCCATCAGAAATGCAAAATGAACAGCTCTGGTATTTTCTAATTCAACAAGATTCCCCAGCTCGTGGTCAGACTGCCAATAATCAAGCGTTTCCCAGCTGGTTTCAGAAGGGGTTGTGAATCAGATCAAGGCTGTCACATGCACTTACTACCATGGTCTAGCAACGCAGTACGTGCAACAGGTCATACCAACGTATTCTGTGTACTGGACCGTGCACACTTCCACCCACACCACACGCATGCACATTACAGTGGTACGCTAGTTGGGCAAGTGTCGGGTGCAACAGCGCACGCATCGGCTCAACACCGTATTTCGGAAGTCACGCCACGTTCACAGGTACAAGGTCAACAGCGGGCGAGAATAAGAGAGGGGGAAGAGAATAAGAGAGGGGGAAGAGAATAAGAGAGGGGAAGAGAATAAGAGAGGGGGAAGAGAATAAGAGAGGGGAAAGAGAATAAGAGAGGGGAAAGAGAATAAGAGAGGGGAAAGAGAATAAGAGAGGGGGAAGAGAATAAGAGAGGGGGAAGAGAATAAGAGAGGGGAAAGAGAATAAGAGAGGGGAAGAGAATAAGAGAGGGGGAAGAGAATAAGAGAGGGGGAAGAGAATAAGAGAGGGGAAAGAGAATAAGAGAGAGGAAAGAGAATAAGAGAGGGGAAAGAGAATAAGAGAGGGGAAAGAGAATAAGAGAGGGGGAAGAGAATAAGAGAGGGGGAAGAGAATAAGAGAGGGGAAAGAGAATAAGAGAGGGGAAAGAGAATAAGAGAGGGGAAAGAGAATAAGAGAGGGGAAAGAGTATAAGAGAGGGGAAAGAGAATAAGAGAGGGGAAAGAGAATAAGAGAGGGGAAAGAGAATAAGAGAGGGGAAAGAGAATAAGAGAGGGGAAAGAGAATAAGAGAGGGGAAGAGAATAAGAGAGGGGGAAGAGAATAAGAGAGGGGGAAGAGAATAAGAGAGGGGAAGAGAATAGGAGAGGGGAAGAGAATAAGAGAGAGGAAGATCAGTGCACCACTGCACTACACACTGGACTACGCATACACACATGACGAGACTACTGCAATCAGCGGGGCATATCACTATGACTCTACAGTCTGCACTCCACCGATGGTACCAAACAAGGCTGAAGTGGCAACTAGCTGCCAGAAAATTGAGTCCACACTACATTTGCATGGAGTTGTCACTATTTCTTTCTATACTAAATAAGTTAGTATATGGGGTTACATGAACGTACATGTAGCCCCATTTAAAAAGTCTCTCGAATGACAAATACGCCAGTAAAAAAGGCTCCATCTGCGTACACAAGCACCACTCTGTGTAGAGTAGCATTAGTGTGGGTAGCGATAAGCCTGTCTAATAGCCAATTTCTACTTTCATCAATGTCTATGCTCGGCGGAAACGGATTGTGCTTTGATTTTCGCCACGTTGATGCCGTGGAAGGCTATAACGTACCCTGCAATGCTGCCGATGAGTACATGGAGACACAGAACAACGCCTATGGCGCGGAGAGATGGCTGTGGCGACGTGGCGGAGTCGGCGAGGAGTTGCCACCGGTGTTCATCCAGCCGCAGTGCCGTGCGCTGCTGCAGCACGCTGCAGAACATTCCGATGTGCATCAGCGCGTGGCCGTGCAGAAAGTAGAGATAGTGCGGCGCCAGTCGCTGCGGCATGTGCACTGCCATCACCACGGCGCTCGCAAAGCTCCAGAAGAACTGCGCCCAGTGGTGTTGGTCCGACGGCAGGCCGCGCTCGCCGTCGGCCGAGAAGAAACGGCTCAGGAAGGGCAGGAAGTTGATCGTGTACGCCAGCAGATAACCGGTGATCAGCACGTACGGCCTGAAGGGAGATGCGTACAGACCAAATCGCACGTAGCACTGCGATATGAATATGCAGAGGTGCAGGACAAGAGCCATACTTAGATAGCCATTGGTTGAGAAGACGGAGATGGCACCACTGTCCGGGTCCATGGGCCGGCTGTAGCTGTAGTGCGCGATGGCCGTCGATACGCAGTAGTAGCTGATGGAGAAGTAGTCGACGATGAACCATGCCTGGTGGTGCCACTCCGACTGGCTGTGGAACACATGCGCCAGCGTACTGCCACTCATCGCTATCACGCATCCGATATGCTGCAGGAGCAGGGGAAAGTGCTCTTCGGCGATGAATACTGGTGAGTCCCACGACCAGTGTTGGGCCATGAGTCGGTAGATCTCGAACACGAAGTACAGTGCGCCCAGTACGTGACTCCAGATGTTCGCCAGCTCGTTGCTAAGCGTCAGGCTACTGAGCACACAGTCCGAGGCGCACGCTACGTGCCGATAGCCTTTCACGATGAACGGCATCACGAAATAGGGATCGACAGACGTATAGCTGCCATGGCTAGGCAGCGCGTGACGGCTTATGATCCTGCGCATTCTGTCCGCTCTTTTCAGCAGCACAGACTCAAACCAGGAAACGCCACACTATTTTCTGGATCCAAAGAATTTTACGAAACGGGAACTAAATCAGCAACATCATTCTCAGGTCAGCCAATGCAATAATTATTGTTTCAAATCACCTGCCAAGATCGGAGATCGGGAAACCTCCACTGACCAGGAATCACCATATCACATGCACGCGAGTGCAAAATTGTACTTTGGACCTGGAATTCTAATTGGGCCGGTACAATTTAGATTCGAGTCGACAATAGGTTTGTGTGGTAAAAAGTAACCAACGCGCTAACTAGCGCTAGTCGATACGACCAGTAGTACCAGCGTGTTGGTTTAGCGCCTGGACAAGTAAACGGCAACTAGAATAATAACCTCAAGCTTGCACGGCACCAACACTAGGATTCGAACACTGGCAACAGGGCCTGGGGCAGTAGATTATACTAAGAAGATCATTACAGGTCAAATGTTTATGATTGTATAACCCACAATGCCGCAATAACATTCCGATTCGATAGCAAAATAAAAATGGAAAAAATCGGATGATAATCATGCATAGGCTCACGGCTGTTAGCTGCACTTGGATCGCGGCAACTTAGTTTTCTGCACGTGAACCATGAAAAATCAATGCATGCTCATGCATGTTCATGCATAACCAGTCAGCTGGCCTGCTCGCCCACGCATTTGACAGGTAACAATTCCATCAAATTTGAGATATCGCTTCGTTCTAAGTCTCAAAACAGTTCTAAAGTCACCAAACCACGCTGGTAATCGATGGCTATTCAATGTTAACATCTTCAGGAAGACTTCAGCCGTTTCCCGAGAGTTTGGGCATCGTTGCCGTTATTTTTCAAGGTGTTCTTCTTCCTCCTGTCTGGAGCTGCAATTGCATCCTGGGATTATTTGAAAGGTATTTCGTGCGGGCTGTGGGGGGTTCCAACAGGCATAAACTGACATCGCTATAGGATAACTGGTAACTTTCACCCTTCAAGGAGGTAGAGCAATGAGAATTTTTTTGTGGCGGTCGTCCAATTTTTGTGGCGGTCGTGGCTGTATTTGTGCACTTCCAAGGCTTTCATTCTGCCTGATACTACTCTGTACTGTATGGGAATCGTTGTTTAGGCACATGTAGCTGTCTTATTTGGTAGATCTGCTGTTTTCAATCACTTGGGACACTTTGTCTAGCCTATTTGTCTTTCGTTCGTGCCATCTATCAGTTTTGTGGGGTGCCTTGACCTGTATTTGTGAAGTTCTCGAGTAAAGACCCTAATTCTTGACTGGAGTCACGTCTTGAATTGAATTTGCTGGGTGAGCCCTCGTTCACGCAGTTGTACTTATCGTAATAGTCAATATCTGCTTGCTGGACGGACTAGCGGCTAGAATAGGGATGACCAAATGGTCCAAGTGTGTACTAGTACACGATTATTGTTTCCATCATCGTGAAATGCTCGTTGTGGAATTGCAGTCGTCTGCCTTTGGCACTGAGGACATGAGGAGAGTTGATTGTTACTTCTGCTCAGCAATGAAGCGATCATCAGCTCTCTTTGTTCTAATTATTGAGAGGACATACCGGCATCGCAATCAAGTAAAGATTAGGCAAACCTCGCCAACCTCCAAAGAGAGTCGAAGATATTTTCTCCAAATGCAAAGACGATCTTTGTGAGTTTGTGACTTGCATTTGCGTGCATACATGAGCAAGTCACGAACCACGGCACGTGCGCGGTTACCATGCCATCTCGAACCGACGCCATCTTTCTAAGTTGCCGCTTCTTGACAGCCGTGAGGCTAGGCTAGCGCTAGATCGATCTACAAACCTACGTCTTCGAGTTCGAGCTCATAAAAAACGTTCACAAATGCGTCACGAGTCACGTGCCGACAACAGCTAGCCTGCCCCGTGCATTACAATCATACGATTCATAGCCATTCCGTCATTCGCATTCTTTCATCAATCAAGTCATTCAAGATACACAGTACACTGTATCAGGCTCACTCATGCTCCGAAAGACTGGCTTTGATTCCATTCATTTACCAAGCTATCCACATAGAAAAATATAACTAAGCTTTGTCCGAAGCATGCACGTCCTGCTGGTTTGGATGTTCCATTTCCTCGCGGAAACCAGGCGACATGACCTTCACCCACCGCCACAGGGTTTGGGAAATCGCAGGCCTTCCGGCTCCGATACGCTGCTGATCTTGTGGAAGAAACCCTGGAAGTTTGTGTTCGCTGGCGTGGCAAGTAACGATTACTACGTGTTCAGTTAGCACATTGTACTACAGTGCACGGCAAAGTGTTGAGAGAGATGGCGAAGCTGCCCAGCCACGGGCCAGCTAGCTCCGTGGATGAGTTCTTCTTGTGCCCAGGCATCGTCAAGGGATACAGGCACGTCTCGAACAAATGGGACTGCGTCCTAAGTAGCCTGACGCTGAGCAATGAGCTGGTGAATATCTGGAGTCACGGCGTAGCGGCGGTGTATTATATGTACGTGGTCTACGCACTGTTGACGCATGCATGGATGCTGGATGCGCTTGAGCAGCATTTTCCACTGATAGCCCAGCAGTTTGGTGTGTTTGTGGCAATGCTGGGCAGCACACTGGCGCACATGTTCCACAGCGAATCGCGATGGCACCACGTTGCTTGGTTCATGGTCGACTACCTGGGCATCGGGTTCTACTGCCTGACGTCGGCCATAGCTCATTACGCTTACAGCCGACCACTGGATGAAAACAGCGGGCCGATATCATTGTTCAGCACAAATGCATACTTGACAATTGCTCTGTTAGGGCACACGTGTGTGCTTGTGTCTCAGTGCTATTTGAGATGCCGATTACTGCAGCAAACCTCTCGACTCTACATACTGGTGACAGGCTACGCCGTAGCATACATTATCAACTTCCTGCCCTTCCTCAGTCGTTACTACAGCGCTCAGGAGCACCTATCGTCGGATCCGTTCCACTGGGGACAGTTCCACTGGAGTCTGGCTAGTGCCCTGGTGATGACAGCTAAAGTGCCGGAGCGGTTTGCGCCGGAGACTTTCTATTCGCTGAACGGGCATTCCATGATGCACATACTGCTGCTTGTGAGCTTCTATCACCAGAGCACTGCGCTGAGAATGGACGTCGAGCGATGGTCATCGTTTCCCAGCGGGCATCAGCCCTGCGTGCCTGGAGTGTGCCTGGTGTTGTTTTTATACAGCCTGGTGGGTATCTTGTTGACGTACTATTTTGCCTACGTCGGTCAGCCGGCGGCACACCAGAGTAGTTGTACTAGTAATGGCAGGACGGCGAAGACACATCATGACTAACTCAAACCAGACTAGACATTAATTGTTGCACGCACATGGGAACGCCGCACTCTGCTAGGACGTACACTTTCCTAGCACGCACATTATCTGGGGCGTGGGTGTGTCTTGCTCCTCATTGAAGAAGTATGTCTGGATAAAAAGCCCTAGATGATACGTATGCACACTGGTGATGCCCACGGGGTAAGGTTTATGAAAGTCCCATGCACAGTATTCCGCTGCAGGCATTGATTAGTATTGTCGTAGTTGGAGAAAAAACTCGCTTTAGAAAAGTGTATCTTTTTAGTTACTGCTTCTATTCCCGTCATCAATAGCGGAAAATCAATTTTCTTTTAGTGGCATTCGATTCTTGCCCGCAGTGCCCACTGCAGAATGAAGTGATCAGGGTCACTGTACCATGGCATGTGCGTGTGCGGGCGCGTGCGTGTATGCATGAGCGCGCGCGTGTTTGTATGCGCATGGAGGGGGGGGGGGGGCACAGAATACTCAGTATTACCTATAGTTATACCTGGGGGTGTGCATGCACTTGTTCTATGTCAGCTGACTTGAATAGTGGGGTCATCGGGTCATCGCACCAGCTTGATCGCGCGTGATGATCGATGATAAAAAATGAATAATTGTCGCCGGCTTTCACGACAAGACAGCTCTCTGTGCGGACACAAGTGCAGTAACCAAGGCATGCAGTGCATGGCTTTCATGACTCTACTGTAAAAGTCTGTTGTAGTACTGTCGTGGTCGTGGACATAGAAATCGGGTCGCACGTCTAGTATAGCGGCCCTATGCCCATGGCCCAGCCTAGCCAGGCCAGGGTGCTGGCCATGCAGCCGTAGCATGTACATGACTTTTGTATTTTTAATATTATTATGCGCTGCTTGCATGCTGGGCCCGCGCCCATCGGACATCGACATCGGATCAACAATAATATTATTAAATTTTACATGCACGTGCGCACAGCATGCAACGACTTACATGTACATGACGTTCTGCGCTGGCGGCGCGGCCCCGGTTATAATATCGACTGAATTATTATTTCCATGTCCGCGACAGTAGACTCTACAAAGTACAATGTCGTAGTAGTTGTATTGACATTTTTACAGTCTGCAAAATTTAATAACGGTGTAAATGCGCGGTGCCAGTGCTTGGCCAACTGGACGTGCAACAGAAGAAATTTTCTCTCTGACCTGAGAGTCGCAATCATAGTGGCCGAGGTTTGAGGAAGTCACTGCAGAATTCTCCCCTCCTACCGGTAACGGGTTGTACTAGCGTTAGCCGGTTAGGCTAAGCTTCTGCTGACACTACTACTACTTGGGAAGGATGATGAGAACTTCTGATTGAAACAACAATTATTAGTGTTTTCTCAGAAAATTTGTTTTGGCTGATCCGTGATTGCTGCACCGCCAGTGCAGTGGGAAGTACGGAAACTGTTCTCGTCAGATCTGTTCGTCACGGTTCCTTGATGACGTGTGGAGAGCCGCTGAGCGCAGAATGGTAACGCTTCCCAGTCACGGACCGGCGAGCTCTGTGGACGAATTCCTCGTGACTCCGCACATCGTCAAGGGGTACAGGCACGTCTCGAACAAATGGGACTGCGTTCTAAGTAGCCTGACGCTGAGCAATGAATTCGTGAATATATGGAGTCATGGCATCGCAGCCGTGTATTATATCTACCTTATAAGCATCCTACTGTATGACGTATGGCAACTGGATTCTGCAGAGGAGTACGTACCCCTTATCGGGCAGCAGTGTGGCTGTTTAGGCGTCCTACTTGGAAGCACCGTAGCGCATACATTCCACAGTGAATCGCGGTGGCATCACCTGGCCTGGTTCACCGTGGACTATCTCTCCATCAGCTTCTACTGCCTGACGTCGGCCATAGCGCACTACGCTTACAGCCGACCACTGGATGAAACAAGCGGACCAATATCATTGTTTAGTACCTATACCTACTTGACAATTGCTCTGGTAGGGCACACCTGTGTGTTTACGTCTCAGTGCTATTTGAGATGCCGATTGCTGCAGCAAACCTCTCGACTCTACATACTGGTGACAGGCTATGCCGTAGCGTACATTATCAACTTCCTGCCCTTCCTTAGTCGTTACTACAGCGCTCAGGAGTCACTGGCATCATCGGATCCGTTCCACTGGGGGCAGTTCTACTGGGGTCTCGCTAGCGCCCTGGTGATGTCTTGTAACATTCCAGAGAAATTTGCACCGGAGACGTTCTACAGTCTGAACGGCCACTCCCTAATGCACATGGGAATGCTGATGAGCTTGGATCAGCAGAGCAAAGCTCTGCGGATGGATCTCGGCCGGTGGGCTCGCTACCCGGACCACAGCCAACCAACAGTGACCGCAATCTGCACGACGGTCTTCTTGTACCTACTTATCGGCAGCACGATTACGTATTACTTCGCCTATCATGGTCGTAAAGATACAGTCAGGACAGGTAGCCGAAAAGAAACTGTGCTTAGCAAAAAGCAGCATGATCAATAGGCTGATGCTATATCTAGGTCGCCCCTTGGCAATGGCCGGTGGGATTTCAGATTCAGCGCGGCTGCTTCTGGATACCAGCTTTTCAAGTGGTACATTTTCCCTGAGCCAGGTCTCTGATACGATACCTAGCGTTGTGTAGACACTATGTGGACTTACATGTGTGTAGTCGTTCATGCACTTACCACCTAGCTCTTGAATTGAATTCTAATTGATGATTTAGCTCACCTGGCTTTACTTTTACTTTGGAGTGAGAATGAGAGAGAGAGAGAGAGAGAGAGAGAGAGAGAGAGAGAGAGAGAGAGAGAGAGAGAGAGAGAGAGAGAGAGAGAGAGAGAGAGAGAGAGTTGCTGCTCCATGATGATGAGACGAAACAGCCAAGCTTATCTATTTTTGCGGATTTTCTTTCATAAAAAAATAAACGTCACAGGCTGCTCTTCGCAGGTGTCCGCGTCCCAGCGGTCCGGGCAAGCGACCGCATCCCAGTGGGACACTTCGACGTGGCCGCACGTACTGGAGTCTGTGGGAGAGCCTTGCCAGGCCAGGGGCTACACACCTGCCCTGGTACCGGGTATGGAAAAATCCCTGGTGTTGCTCCTTTTTTGTTTTTGCTGAGAAAGAAACGTTGCTGCATGAAAAGCTTTCTGTTCACGCCAGCGCCTTTGCTCTAGTAACATTGCTGGCTGATAATGGTCATTGCTCGTGATGCCGATGGTGAAGAGAAGCTGGGTTTCTTGCCATTTGAAACTTCCTGATTCTGAG